GTCACAGTTCAGACTTGTTTTTTACAATTCTGACTTTTTTGTCACAATTCTGATTAAAAAAAAAGATATAAACTGAGATAATTATATATATATATCTTTTTTTTACTAAGCTATATTTTTATTCCATGGCAGAAAACAGAATTGCAAGATGATATGAAATTGTGAGAAAAAGGCAGAGTTCTAAGTTTATATGTCACAATTCTGAACTAGAATTGTCAGAATTTTGAGATAAAAAGTTGCAATGACTTGGGCTTCCATAAAAAAAAGCCATGTGACTTTGTCTCAACAAGTTTTGTGACTGAATATATAATCTCAGGCAATGTTGGTGCATTTATTGCATTTTGGGGGAAGTATTGTACTTGCATTTCTGAAATTAAACATTGTTAGTTTAACCTTTTATCTGTTCGTCTTGTCCTATCTTTTATTTACTTGCATGCAACACACACACACACACACACACACAAAAAAAAGTCCTTTAATCTCAAACAGATTTTTAGAAAAAAAATTAATTCGCAATTTGCAAAAAAACTGTCATTTAAACACTGTTAACATAAAGCAATGGACACAACTGCACTGCAGCCATGCGGTTCATGCTTAAACTGGCTATTCAAGGTAATACACGAGCCTAAAGATAACATCTAATTCTAAAGCGAACAAGGACAGGCCTGCAAATGGCGAAATTCATATGCAGCGCACATGGTGCTCTCCACACCTGAGTGCGGCTCAAATATCTGGGGATCTCGGGAGGAGCTGCTCTCTTTGTCTCCTCCAGAGAAAGTGTGTCTCTAATCGCTTTTTTCCACAGCGGCCCCCTTTTACAATGTAATCTGCCGCACTGCTGATTCAGTTCAGCAGATTTGCAGTTTTATTAACACGGAAAGATGCTGAAGTGTGGAATACGCCAAACAAACCCTCTTTACGGCAGCAGCGCTTCCACTTGACGAATCCATCACACACGGCTGACAGAAAGTTGTGGGGGCAGTTTATGGGCCGCAATACAGTGTTGCAACTTGATAGGGACCCCATAAAAGCACTATAACCTTAGCATCACACAAAGCTGTGAAGTTTATGTGACATCAAAGATGATGGGTGTGAAAGCGAGGCCCGGTTGCAGGCGCAGGGCTGCGATCGGTGACAGTTTTTTGGAAAGGGATTAGAGGCTGCAGGAAGAGAGACTGTTATTTGACATTCTCTTGAGGAATATGAAATGGTGAACAGGCGGTCGGGCGGCTCCGTTTTGGAGTGTGCATCCCTTTGATGGCTGCCAAGATCAAAGACGGGGGATTTGCAGCAATCTGCAGTAATTTTTGTAGTCACCCCCAGTTCTCCTATCTGTTTTTTCAGAACATGAATGATTTTTTGATCACAGAAAGGGGTGTGGAGGAAGACTCGGTGTGCGACGGCGAGGACGGACTGTAATACGTGCAGATTGAATAACACAGTGTGGCGGGACCATTATCTCTAGTCATCAAGCAAAGCCGATAATCTGTTCCTGATACTGTCATCAAAATGCATCGCATAGAAGAATTTGATAAGAAATATTCGTAATGGAATATTTTGATTGAAAACTTTGTTGTCTTGGTAAATGTGACCACAGTTTGAGACATTGTTGAGACCCAATGAGTGCGTTTACATTAGTGGTTGACCGATATATCGGCCGATATTTGATTTTGGCATTAGCAATTATTATTATTATTATTTTTTTTTTTTAGCTTTTATTTTTTTTTTTACATTTTATTTGCTTTATGTTGTAAGTTTTTATTTTGACAAGCTCACTTTTTTCATATTGATTTATATAAATTAGTAAATATTATGTAAAATAAATTTAAATTTGTCATTGTTATGCATGTGTTTTCGCTCTCTTTAAATTAAACAGGGTTATATATATATATATAATATTGACCATCGGCATAAGATATTGGAGTCGGCCATCAAAAAATCCATGACCCCAAAAATCCATATATTGCCAAGGCTGATATATCGGCCGATATTTGGCTTTTTTTCTTTTTTTATTATTAGCACTGATCTTTTTTTCTGTTTGACTGATATGTCTGAAGCTTTTATTTTGACAAGTTCAACTTTTTTTCAGATTTATAAAATGTAGTAAATATTATGTAAAATAAACTTAATTTTAGCAATTGTTTTGCATGTGTTGTTACTCTCTTTATATTCAATAGTGTGATATATATCGGCTTTATAATGGCCATCACTAGTTGATTTCGGCCCATTACCCCAATCTTTCACGACATTTAAGTTTTGTAAAACATGGTTGTTTGGTTTTTCTCTGTTATTATTTTCTATATAAAAAAAAATAACTTCCTGACATGAGAAAATTTTTTTTTTAATTTATACATATGATGTTTGTAATTTTTAAAAAACATTATCAGGTGCCAAGTGCCAATATTTCATTCTTCATCACATCATAAAACAGTTTTGAATTTTAATATATGAACATGCTGTTAATGGCTTTGCTGTAGCATGTGCAGTCTGAGTCATTCGACATTTTGACATGCAGTGAGGGTCTCTTTCAGAGCACGCAATCTGTGAGCCCACACGGAACAAGCAGATGTCATCGTGCCATCAAGCATGGCCATTAAGCATTTACGAGTCATCTTCTGCCCATTACCCCAATCTTTCACGACATTTAAGTTTTGTAAAACATGGTTGTTTGGTTTTTCTCTGTTATCATTTTCTAAAAAAAAAAATAACTTCCTGACATGAGAAAAAAAATGTTTAATTTATACATATGATGTTTGTAATTTTTAAAAAACATTATCAGGTGCCAAGTGCCAATATTTCATTCTTCATCACATCATAAAACAGTTTTGAATTTTAATATATGAACATGCTGTTAATGGCTTTGCTGTAGCATGTGCAGTCTGAGTCATTCGACATTTTGACATGCAGTGAGGGTCTCTTTCAGAGCACGCAATCTGTGAGCCCACACGGAACAAGCAGATGTCATCGTGCCATCAAGCATGGCCATTAAGCATTTACGAGTCATCGGATGCCTGTGCCAGAAGTCACCAACTCTCAGTATGGAATTCCAAACCTGACAAAATTAGAAATAAATATATAAATATATATACATAGAAAAGTAGAAAAAAATATTATTATTATTAGTAGTAGTAGTAGTAGTATTATTTATACTTTTATTCCCGTATTTATGTATATTTTTCCACATTTATTTATTTGTATTTACATATTTATTTGTATTTTTATTTACATATTTGTTTATTTCCACATGTATCTATTTCTACATTTCTTTATTTCTACATTTCGTTGTCCGTAGGGTAATGAGGAGGCGTGTTTTACCTCAGGAATAGCAATCGAGGAACAATAGGCTTTGAGGCCACAGTGACTATTTTCAAAATCAATTGCAAGTTGTACTTTCAATTGTGTTTTCTATGTCAACGCATAAATAGTGACATAATCCAAATGCAAATCTTGCAGTACCGTTTGCGTTTTCGCTTTTGCGTACGCAGTGACTGCCAAATTTCTAATGGAAAATCAAAGTCCATTTGCAACTGTATTTCCCATGTCTCACGAGTTATAAGCCTGTCATATTTAAATAGCAATATTAATTACCACGTCTGCTTTTTCACTTTCTCTGCATCGCGCATGTAACCTGCCAAAACTCAAACATAATCGCGTTTACTTTAGTATTTGAATTTCTGATGCCTTCCATTTCCACGGAAACCTGTCATTCAGTGTCAGGGGCGGGACTATACTATGGGGCATGTTTGTATTGGGAAGTGACATCACTCACAGACGATTGTGTGCTGAATGCTAAGAACAAAGGAGGTCATCGGTAAAGGCACCGCCAAAGGCAGCTGCCAATCCAATAGATGAGTGTGAACGAACAGACAGTGCAACCCGGGGCTCCTTATACAATAAATCATTCCGTCGTTTTTACCCCAAATGCAGCGACTATCCCCTGCTAACAGCGGGAGCCACAACGGTACGCACAATAGGTCAATATTCACCATTAACCAAATTCAGTGTCAGGGGCGGGACTATACTATGGGGCATGTTTGTATTGGGAAGTGACGTCACTCACAGACGATTGTGTGCTGAATGCTAAGAACAAAGGAGGTCATCGGTAAAGGCACCGCCAAAGGCAGCTGCCAATCCAATAGATGAGTGTGAACGAACAGACAGTGCAACCCGGGGCTCCTTATACAATAAATCATTCCGTTATTTTTACCCCAAATGCAGCGACTATCCCCTGCTAACAGCGGGATCCACAACGGTACGCACAATAGGTCAATATTCACCATTAACCAAACACTTTTCACCTGTCACACGATCTCTCACTATTTGCACTCCGACTGATGCATGCTAGCAAACAGCCAAAAAGTGCGACGCTTAGGTGCCGCGTGATTCATTATGGATTAGAAGAGAGGAATAAAATATAAGGTAAGGTGGCAAAAAGGCAAATAAGAGCAGAGTTGCAGTGTCGTTTTGCTCACATGCATCTATCGGATTGGCAGATGCCTTTATCGGAGCCTTTACCGATAAATGTGGATATAAATACATATATAAATAAATATGAAAATAAATAAACAAATGTGGAAATAAATAAATAAACGAAAAATTAAATAAATGAGGAAAAAAATTTAAATATACATAGATAAAGAAATAAAAGTATAAATAATTGTTTATTTTTGTTGTTTTTTTTCATTTTCTTTGCATATTCATATGCATATATATTTGTTATTTATGTATTTATTTTTTTATTTTTTTATTTTATTATTGTTATTATTATTATTTTTATTTTATTTAATTTTTTGCTTTTTTACATTTCTTTGTATATTTATTTATCTATTTATTTATTTCTAATTTTGTCAGGTTTGGAATTCCA